GCTTCATCTTCCTCATCCGCAGGCTACTTCACACCAAGCCTGCGGATGAGGAAGATGAAGCTCCTGACGACGAAAGCGGGAGTGCAGCAGAGAAGGCAAGGATTTCCACCGGCAAGGGGAAAGGCTTGACCAAATCCAAGTTGAAGGGTCTCAAGGCTCCAAGAAACGCGGTGTCTTATCCATGTCAGCGGAGACAACTCGTCATCGGCCAGGTGGTCCGATGACTCAACATCATCAGCGCTCTCAGCTGCTGATCCGGACGCTTCTGTTTTGCGCTTGCTGCGGATAGCGTCTTCATAAAAATTTCAGGCGCATCAGCGTCCTGAACTCCCAGTCGTGGAAAGAGGCCGCGTCACCACTATAGATGTATGACCCGGACCTGGTCTCCAGAGGAGTACCAGTGGTCCCGGTCCTGGGCTGGTACCGCAGACCAGCTACACTCATGGCTCTAAAGGAGCGGAGTAGCCTACAGTAAGCTAGGCGTCAAGTTGACGGGTCGAAAGTGGGGCTCGCCCGGCCCTGAAGACAAGACAGTACCTACCCTACCGGATACAGGTGCTGCAACAACTGCTCTGCTACCAGTATTAGTAATAATACGGATAGCTACGGATCACTGTGAAACACTTTTGGGCTTGACCCAGGGCGCCTGCAGTACATGCGTTCAGGATTGTACAAACTGATGTAGGTTACCTGAACTGACATGAGGGAGACATTCACACCCGCGTTCAATACCCTGCCTGAGCATCAGCAGCAAAATCCACCAGGTAGAAGGGAAGGGCTCGGCCTGATTAGAAAGAATTAAACCACTTAGCATGACCCCTCGCCCCTTGTTACTTATGGAGAAACCAGGCGCCAGGCATGCCTGATTGGCAATACACGCCAGGAGCAGCAGCGCCAGAATCTGCACCCTGTTCGAGCTGAGGGACCTTGCCGCAACTTCTGCTCAGCTTGGTTTCAGCATTCTGAAACATGCTGGTGGGGACTTCCAAAGTCAAAGACACATGCGAAAGCAGACACAATCTTTAAGTGTCCTTAACTTGAGCATGTTGAGGCCTTTGTAGATCAAGGAAAGCTGGTAACATGTTTCGAAGGCTCCACGTGTCTTGTAGCTGGCGTTCTCTTAGGCCGGGTGGCCAGTCAGCCTTCTCGGTGTCAGAGGAGTTCTGAGTACAACATCGCCTTTCAAGTCACATGGTTGGACACCCCAGAATCCCGTCAGACCCCTGTTGAATGTATTGTCGACGGCCTCACCAAAGAGCTAGTGGAAGCTACTTGGCATTGCAGCCAAACCTCAGAGATGCAGAGCAGTGTATGAACAAAACGTTCCAAGACCGTCAGGACCTGCGGAAACAAAGACAAGACATGCCAGATTGCAAGCACGCAACATGCCTGCGCCCTCTGGCGCAGCCAGCCACAAACAGTGAGGTGGACGTAGCAGCTGCTACGCGGGCGCCTGATCGCAACGAATGGCTGATGACGTGCAACAAGTCTGTTTAAAAGCGGCTGAAGACTACAGCTAGCTGTCTACTGCTGTTCGTCCTAGTCCTGAGCCTGCTGGAAGCAAGCGCCCTTCGTCTCTAACAGAAACACCAACGCCAGTGGTCCCACCTGCCGAGAAATGCAAAGGTACGGGCCCGACCGATCCAAGTACACACTCTGAGACTCTGAGAGGGACCCCTTGTACACCTAGAGTTCGCGAGCTTGGGGGCAGCCACCTGGAGCGACGCCGAGCCGGGCGTCTTGCCACGCCGCAGGGGCGCCCAGCATGGCCGCCCGAAGCTGATGTCTCCGAGTCTTGGAGCTAAGACAACATCTTGCGGAAAGCCAGCTATCAAATTGCCTGTCCTTGCTTGGCTTGGGGTTCAGGTGGTTTCTTGCTGCCATCTGCCATGTGCTCAGCTAGGGTGATATACACCATAAAGCTCAGACTGGATACCTTGTCTGAAATGCTGATCACTAGGTATTAATCACTACAAACGACTGCAGGCTTGAGGCGCCTTCTTGATAAACAAACTGTTCTCAATTTACAGATTCTGAGCAGCCTGCACAAGACCACCTGGAGATGATCCCAGCGCAGCAAGCTTCTGGCCTTCACCCAAAATTTGGACCAGTTGCCTCCGTCCTCCGGCAGAGCTGACAGGCACGCACCCCTGGACAAACTGCACGTGCAGTGACCTGCCAAGGAGCTTCATGTGAGCGATCCAAGTCCAGCAGAGGTCTTAAGAAATCTTCAACATAAACATGAACATGGAATTGAAGGCGGCGCAAACTTGTGGACTCAGTTTGTGCAGTACGCGTGCTGCTAATTCAAGCCATTTGTGGACCTGACTCATCTCTGAAACAGAGGGACATCACCACACGTCCTGTAAGACACTGCCGTCGTAGCTAGCAAGCTCATCACCTGCGCCGTTAAAAAGTTGAGCACCGGATAGCGCAGCTCAGCTGCTTGGCGCACCGCGGATTCCCATGCCCCATCGCAGCACGGTTCTGGATTTGTTGAAGGCATCGACAACCTCGGCACAAGTGAGAAATGCAGGCTCGTGCTCTTGCGAAAGATCCCTTCACCATCTTAGCTTCCCACCACTTCCAAACCTGAGTATGAGGTCGCAAGCATGGGCGAGCAGAGGGAAGTACTGCGAGGGATGGAGAGTGAGAGAGCAAAAGCCAAACCACGAAACAACGAGGTGAGTGAGTGAAGGTGGAGGCTGTTGAGAAGCATGTGTACACTGGATCGGGGCAAACATGCAACAGGTCAGGGGATTACACACTGGATCATACTGGCAATGGGACATGGTGGGCATGAGCATCAAGAGTGCGGGAGGTACTTGCGGAAACGGCAAAGTGCTCAACATGCTCAACGTGCCGTTTTTTTGCTACCAGCAGCTAATGTGTCGCTTCTTTGGTCCTGCACAGGCCAGGCCTGCAAGTGTAACAAAACTTGATTGCAGGAACCTTGTGTCCTGCGCGGAACCTATGGCTTGAGCAGTAGGCGTGCAAAGGATAGGGCATCGTTGTCTCAGTGAAAAACACTATACTTCCGCCCACTGCTTCAAGAGGAGTTGTTCATCAGGAACGATGGCAGCGAGTGAGAGCCGCGGGACTCATATCAACAATCTTTGAGAACCAAACTCACTTGCCTTCCCTTCCTGACAACGCCTGCACATGTCTCAAAGGAAAAGCTATGGACAGCCTTTGAGCAAGCCAAGGATGGCATGTCTTTGCTGAAGCAGCCGATGGAGACATCTTGCATCAAAGCTGCGTGAGCGATGACACTGCCAAGCTACTGGCACTTCAAACTTTGGTCCAAAAGTTTGAGAATACATGCATCTGTATAGTACAAAGCACAGGTATGTGCTGCAGCCATGCAGGCCCAGACGAGCTCTGAGTGATGGAACTTGTGCTTTAGGCCTCAAGTATGTGAAATAGCACTGCTTCTTCAAGAGCGCATTTGCTCAACTTCAACATCTGCGCAACATACAGGCAAGAGTGTGCGAAACACTCAATCAAACAAGTCCCACAGGGGCGCCTGACGCACTGGCAAACATGGGGAATCATCTGCAGAACCCCACCCAAAATTATCGCTTATTCCCAAAAGACCAAAGGGCGACGCCGGAGCGCAAGGAGAGTGAACAAGATTCTTTGGAGGAGTCAGAGGTGCTTCCACCTTACGCACCTGACACACCTCTGTTTCGGGCTCTTGAGCAGACCTGCTGCGTCGCGTGCTTGAGCAAAAATGCGCATCCAAGATGTACGCGCGACGGCCGCAGTGTCAGAAATCACCAGTGCATACGCTTACAAAATGCGGTGCCCCCAGGCGTCCGCCTTTCCCAGACAGCCCTTTGAACTGTACTCAGGCTGTCGTGGGCACGTCATACTCAAAAGGCCAAGAAGGCTTGACGGCAAAACTGTCCCCGCCCTCAGCAGATACGAGGGCATCATACGTCTGAAATCAGTTCTGGCACGCAAGCTGTGCCTCTGCTCACTCATTGTGCAACCACCGGCGTGCGCCGGGAGTCACCTTGGCGCTATAAGGCTTTGGCACCACCCGTCACGTTATGCACTTGTCGCCAAGACACTGGAAGATTGTGCTATTGCAAGCAATGGCCAGGTTCGCACTGGCTCGCTTCCTCCTGGTTGCTGCCTGCCAAACAGAGGCTAGCAGCGGCCAACGCCTACCGTCTGACTGTCACTGATGACCCGCGCCTGATGTCGAAACCCTTGGGCTGACTTGGTGGAATCTGCGCCCTTCGCCTGCAGGACTTGCTGTTTTCAGGTCAACAGTATGCATGTCCACGCGGCTCGCCTGAGGAAGAATCATGGGGAAGTCCAGCACTTGTCCCATAGTGTCCAGCAGTATCGGGAGCCTGAATGCGAGCCATGCATCCAAGCTCCACGGGCATGCCATAGAACCTGCTGAGGCATCGGCCACTCCTGCTCCATGGATGCGTGCTCCATGATAGGGCTTCCTTGAAGCCGCAGGATATTTGCCTGATCAAGAGCCCACGGCGGTGGTCCCACAATTCAGAACTGCACTTCCAACCTGGAGTCCTTGCACACGTGCTGGCGACACCTGCGACCACGGGTACTCCTCTCACCTCCTGGTGCATTTCATAAGGGTGGCCTGCAGCACTTTTTTGCTGTTGAATCCAGGGAGTTTCTCGCAGCCTGTGCGGCTCAGACTCCAAGACTTCTGAGCAGAAGGACAAAACTGACATGGAATGCACCCAAGCAACTTTGGCGTCCGTGGAACTCATCCCTGAATCGAGCCAGCGCTCGAGGCGTCCGAAAGTTGATGAAGCAATACCCGACATTGCATTTGTTCCTCCGGGCAGACGGTGCCAGGGAGCTGGAGCTACAGTGGCAATCATCGGCAGAACAGGTTGTCTAGCAGTGAGAGTCGGCAAGAGTTGAGGAAGTTCAGCGCATGCTGAGTGTCACGTGCTGAGGACTACGACCACTGCGTACTGCTCGTTTCCAACGGGCGTGCACGGGTTTCTGCGAACATGGATTATTTATGCTGCGATGTGAAAGTCTGACGGGCACGCCGCATGTGCGCAGCACTGACTCCAATCTTGACGATGGCGTCAGGTAATCACAGCCGCTGCATGACGTGAAACTCACAAACGGAAGAACTACCGAGCATGGCAGCCTGACCCTCATCCTCAGCCATACTTGTTAAACAACCCACCCCGAAGTTCTCATCTACGGAGGGAGGCATGGATTTATGAAAACAAGTGTGCCGCTGATTGCGCCAGCAGGTCCCCGTCTGGGGCTTATGCAAATTCGAGGTTCAGGCAAGACCTGGGAGGCCCAGACCCGCGACACAAGCGTGATGCTAGATCATGCTAGATCACTGGTTTGCATCTTGCGCTAGCAAGCAGGAGCTTTCTCAAGAATCATGCCCGCGTATCATCGCCGAGGTAAATCACAAGCAGCGGAAAACTGAGCATAATGTCCTGCTCGCCATGCCTCCGCAAAAAGAGAGCCCGTCAAGCAACAATCAGCATCAGTCCTGAAATCGATAGGGAGGTATAGGAAGTCAACGTCACCCTTGTAGCCACAGCCGTTCAAACGAGCCACCAGCTTGTCCCGCATGTACCTTGATAACCGGACCCGACCACCTCCACTTCAGTTCTGCATAGCACCGCATGGGATTGCAAGCTCTACCGTTAGGCGACTTCCCACATGCAACCGCATGCTCGGCACAACCTGATTTACTTGCAACTGTCATGCTAGCTCTGTGCTCTGTCAGGCTGAGGCCCCTGCTTGTTGGGCAGGTTGCGCAACATTGCTGTGGTACATCCACCCAACCAGCTGCTTTCGGCGCAGCTTGCCTGGACTCATGTGGCCCTGAAACATATGGGGCGCTAATCTCGCTTTGTCAACAAGCGGCCAGTGGCTCCGAGTCATCGAAGAGACTTTCCACCATGCGATCAAGATGAGGCACGTTGTCAAACTCAACCTGCCGGGTTTGGCAAGCCGCGCAAGAACATGCACAAGAGCTTGCTGAACGGTACGAGTACAACTTTCGTGTCCGTACAGTACCAGGCAGACCTCCTTCTGGTGCAGAGGCCACGAGGATGGATTAGTCCTGAAACGTTGAATCTCAGCACCTCCGACAAGCAAGACTCTCTAAGACACTGGCGAAGATCATCTTCTCTAAGAGTTTGGCTGTGGCGGAAGCAAGGCATCCGGAAGACCTGAGCAGGTCCCTCGAAAGCCAAGCTAAGCTCAGGTCTCAAGAGTAGGATGAACCAGTACCTGTAGGTTGGATGCATATGTTTTGTAACGTGACCGTCGGGTCCAAGTCTGTTGTGGCTGTCCTGTTCTTTCCAAGCTGCGAAATTCTGAGTCCGCATTCTCGGGCGTCTCTGAATGGGACTCAAATTTCGAACGGGCAGGATCCAGCCACCACAACAGCCTTGCAAGATGCGCTTAAAACAAGGCAAGCCGCGTCATGACCTTTTCTAGAGGCGCCTTCCAGTCGCCATGAACAAGTGTCACAAGGTTATCCCACGAGCCTTTCATGGCTGGTTCGTGGCCCAGTTGTAGGAGGCTGTGAGCACTGTGAGCACCGTGGCGGACTGCGGTCTGTGTCCGGAGTCAGCTCAGGAGTGTGCAGGCCTGCAGAGACTGCAGAGACTGCGGCTCTTCGAGATAAAGGAACTGGCGCATGTGCGGATGGCCTGTGGAGCAATGGAAGATGTCAACAGACCTCTGCAAAGCTTGGGCCGCTTGTAGCTGTATCAGAAAACTTTCTGCAAGGCAAGGTAGCAAAGTCCTGAACATCCTGTCTCTTTGGGCTTAGTCTTAATGCAGCTGAAAATCAATGGCGAGCCGTGGGCCCCGGAGGCATCCAGCTCGCATCTACTGCTGTTGGGCTGGACCATGGCACCAAGCTCACGAACTAACAGGAACTCTGCGCTTGAGCTGTACGCCGGACAATCACTCCAAGCTGCACTCAATTTCTCAAACACATAATTTCACCCATGCCTCCAGGATTTCAGCCTGCCTCCTGGCATTAGGAGCCAGGCCGACCGCATAGAGGGCATCCGTCACGGGAGTAATCTTGCCGATGAAGACATGGGCATCCTGGAGGTCTGAACGTAGTGGCTTCAGAGATTCTGACAGCAAAAGAGCGAGATTCTGTAGCTCGCCTGCTTCATACAAGAGGGCGGGGTCAGAATGTCTTGCATTTGTTTTCCTCCTACTGTAGCAGCCATCCCACCAGTTTCAACGAGCTCTACGTTCAAGACACGGGTGTTGTTGACCCTCAGCAGTTACATGATTATGAAATCGCTCTATCCGTTCCCGGTGTCTTGTGAACTCAGAGCAGCCACCAGGACCGCGTATGTCGCTGCGAGATGACATGTAGACAGCGGTACCAGCGTTGCAAATGTTTTATTCCGCCAGCCTCTTCGCACTGCTGCAGCTAATGCTAGAGGTTGAAAAGTCACCAAGCCGACGACGCAGGTTGGGCAAAGAGGTCTTTGCCTCCTCCAAAAAGGCGCGCTTGCGACCAACTTGATCTCTCAGTTGCTGCATCACGGCCGCGTTCGCCTCTCGCTGCTGCAGCACATGCAGCAATCCCTGCATGTTCTTCAGTACATGCCCGAGTCGTCGAATGCGCGTGGGATATTCTGATGGGTTCTGTGCCAAGCAGTCCAGGAGCTCTAGGCAGCTTGTTTGGAGCAGTCCGTGTAGGTTAATGAGCTCCGCACCAAGATCCGCTGCGTCTGGGTTGCACAGCCACTCGTCTGCATCGAGTGGGGAATCAGTTCTGCTCTGCCCACTCTCCTCCCCAAACACGAAGACCTCTCCTGCAGGAATCTTGGGAGGGAGCACCAACACCTGCGAGTCTGGCTTGAAGAGCTGCCAGTGTGGTGGAGGGAGTGGAAAGCCAGCAAAGCTGGCGACCGGCTGCACATCGGACATTTCTGTGAGGAGCCCGTGAGAGGATGAACATTCACCAGCTTTATAGGACATCATTGCTTGCAGCCTAGTCATGATTTGCCAGCTTGCTTGTTGCTTGGGGCGGCTGCACGGTAGATTTTTCCAGGAATTTGATCCTAAATTACTGATTGACATGCCGGCATAACAATCTCTGAAGAGCTTTCTGCTGAGCCAAGATGTGAGAGATGCACCTGGGGTCACTCTGGGAGCAGGCAAGCGCAAACCACAGCCCACTGCAGCATGTCTGGTATTGCCTATCCCACAAAGGAACCCCCAGGCACGTGCCGGGCTGCGCTGTGTCCAAACTTGTTACAATACTGTTTGTGTATTTTGGCACGTCTGCTTGAGATACGCGGATTTCACTTCTGTTGTCATCCTTCGGACAGCCCTATGTATGTCCCAAGCGCCTAAGTGCTGTGGTGGACGAAAATTGCTGGAACAAAATTCAGTCTGGGCTGCCGGGTTGGAAAGTTTCAGGGATCTGTTACGAGCCTTGACAACTGCTTACATCCCTGCGACTCACACCTGTAAATGCAAGGAAGATCCAGTCTACTTCACCATACTCCGAAGTCAGGCCCTGGTTATCGTCAGCATTTTACGGGGCTTTGTCCATGTGAACGTGTGTCCGCCGAAGATAGGTTCATCTTATGAACAACGCCAGAAAGGTGCCCATACTGTGCAGCATTGGCTCCCGTCATTTTGCGGCAGTCCCTGAAAACTGGCAGCGGTGGTGAGGACTGGTTACTGGTTGCCAAGAAGTCTTCGTTCTCATGCCTTACCTTCCATGACCTGTGCTCCTGTGGCCAGAATTGTCAGATCCGAAGCTACCAACGTTCTGGCAATACTGACTTATCTGACTTCATCATGTTCCATCTTTTCCCTCCGCATAAACACAAATTTCAAATGTGATGAGGACGAAGTGATCTAAGGTAGTGGCGGCGACAGTGTGGAAAGTGGAGCCTTTTCTTCCTTCTCTGTTCTGTGGGCTCTGAGATTGGTTGCACAGCTCCTTGGTTGAGCCGTCTTACATTCGCATCAAAATAGCAGCGGCGGCAGCAGAGAAGTAAGCAGAAATGCCAATGCGGGCGGCCTGGCTGGCATCCGTTTCGGCCTGTCTTGTTAACAGGCAGATATCTTTGCATTTGCATCTCTTGGTTTCTGCCTGAGAGCCCTACCACCAGAGTGAGCTCATCACTCCGATTCCACCCCGCAAACTCCACGTCTGAGAATCACCGTGAGTGTGCATCATGAGTTCCGTTGCTTCCGTACGAGACACTTTTATTCAGCCTGCCACGCAGTCAGACTTCAGGAGCTGTGCAATGCCACTTGTAAACCTGCAGCCTTGCCAACAGTGGCCTAGATCTTAGCTTGGCAACCGGCCAGCATAGTTCCCGTGTGACGTGGGCATGGTTGCCTAGCCGGCGGATGCAATCTATTCATTGATCAGCACATGGTTGCTGGCTGGGCCCTCAGAACACTCGCACTCTGAGATGCCGGCACAGTTCTGGGACACAATTGTGGCGCCAACAGACATAGCCCACCTCAAGGACCCGCTGGCAATGGCAAACTCAACAAACTCAACAACCTTGCACATCACAGCGTCAAATCTGGGATGCGCATGCTGGCCTGCCTGAAGGTTCCTGTCCTCATAGATGCCAGCTCACGCTCACCTTTGCACTAATCAGGAACATTGCCACGAAAAGACCATCAGCTGATGTAGGCACAGTCCTTCAGCACCCCAAAAGCCACCACCGATCTCCTGCAGAACGTCTGTTTGCCAGGATTCCGCTTCACATATATCTTCTGCCCCCCCCCATGCCAATGCTAGCTTGAAATCTCTGCAAACCTTCTCTGTTCCAAGCAGGCAAAAGCCATCATCCAGAAACATCACATGGCAGCACAAATCCGGACTTGCTGCATTCCATCTGTATAGAGAGTGCTTCAATAAGGGATACAGAGTCACTGTTCAACAGCCTTGCCTCGTGAACCACAGCGCTGCGGCAATTGACCCGCCACTTTTGCATCAACGACGCGTCCGATAGGAAGGAGTTGCTACTTCTCTGAGAATTCAGAATACCCACTTACGCGGAAATCCCTCGCTGTGTAATTACACACATCACATCACGCAATGCTTGGCGTCCTCACCCTGCTCGGCTCGAGACCTTCCCGCTGTTTGGCTATGGGCTAGTCTTGACGTGTGCATGAACATGAAAATCTTCATTGCAATAATCCGTGCTGCCAATACTCACGAGGCCTATTCTTATTTCTTGATGGCTGGAGCCCTTTGCTGAGGCTCGGCTGGAACATTGCTGCGTCATTTGCCCTCGGGAGGAATGGTGGACCTAGGTCTTGGGAGGCTATCGGTTGTCGGTACCACTTCTGCACTATCTCCCATCCAAGCGAGCTGCTGTGGAAGCTGAAAAGACGTTGCACCCATGGCCAAAGCCTCGCTGCAATACATAGTGAGTTCACAGATGTCACCTGCACGGGCTGGCAAGCCCCCGACTTCATTGTCGAGGGTACATGAAGAAGAGCCGCTTTCTCACCGCAAAGGCACTTGCCTTCGTGTCTCTACTTCTAGCACATGCAAAATCCAACTTCCAGTAGAGCATGATGCTCAGCGATCAGGCTTGCGCTCCCGTCTGGCCCATGTATTGAAGAACCAGGTAGCTCATTCCGAATTCCTTGAACCTTGGCATCACACATGGCCGATAGTCCTGAGCTAAGCCACGCTAAGCTGCTGACAAGCACAGCTTTCAGGTAAGTGCAAAGCTCGGTTGACATCAGACCCTGTGGCTGAAGGATATCGCTGCCCGAGGCACGAACCAAGGCGACGTCTCGCGCCAATTTGCGGTCCCTCGCTGCAAGAATGGTGCCAAAGAGCAGCTGATACGCTTACCTGCCTTTTGCTCCCGAAAGCAAACATGGAGTGCAGCATCAGGACCTGAAGTATCCGGCAATCCAACCAAAGCGTGTCAGCCACACTTTGCTTGCCAGCTGCGGAAAGCTGCACTCAGAAGGTATGGCATTTTGTTTCATTCCCTTCTGCTTAGCACATCCCAGCCCAACTCAGGTGCTCGCAGGGCCAGGACAGAAGTGCTCAAAATGGTCAACCTGCTCTTGCAGCTGTAAAGATTCTTGGGTCTTGCCTTGCCAGTGGTTGGCCATTAAGCCTGTGCTTGCAGTTGCATCTGTTGCAGAACTTTTCCAAGCCAAGCACCCCGAGAAATCCAGGATAGCCTCGCAGGTTAGCAGGCATGTGGCATACGGCTGCCATTTGCAGGCTCACTGCCTGCAGCTCTGAGTCCCCTGCGTCTTAGCTCAATGAACTCGCTGAGCCTCGGAGGATGGCAGTTTGCAGGGAATGTCTGAAGAATGTCTGCAAGCGCTACACATCTTCAACTGAGCATTGATTTCCAGGAATCTGCATGAAAATTGGCGTCCTACAGCTCCGGCATGGGACTAAATTTTAAATGTTCTTGTGGATATGGGTGGGTAGTGTGCCAAATGCTATGATTTTCTTGTCTCTGAAAGCCTTCAGGCGGCACTCACACTTCTGTGGCCAGCTGAGACAATGCATAGCAGAAAGCTAAAAACTGGGAGCTCTGCCAGAAGGACGGCGTGTTCCAGAAGAACTGCCACCCTGGCTGCCAATGCTTCCACCAAAGGTCATGTTGCTATACCTTGCTGTTTAGCTTGATTCGTTGCGCTGTCGACCCTAGCTGCTCATCATCAATCGCATCATGTTGGCCGGATGACGAGTCAGTGGGGCCAGCAACCGGAAATAATGACCACCGGCATGGAAGCACCTTAGCTTCTTAGGGTCTGCAGCTCTCCTCGTGCTGCAAAATGCGCAGTATGGGACAGGTGCTAAGCCTGGGTGGTCGGCTCGCACACGTCGACCTCCCCACAGGTCCTGGTGCATAGCCTCGGTTGGTTGAAGAAAGCACAGTGCAGACTTCAAGCAAACGGTTCAGTTGAAAGGAAAAACAGACATTGCCCTCCACGTCCCTCTCAGAACATCTCAGAACCTCAGCTCGTGAGCCCAAATAGGCTGGGATAGGCCGGGCGCGTTTATGATGTCCTGGTCCCACATGCAGAAGTGATGGTAGTTGCGCTCCAGACCTGCCAGGATCTTTGACTTCTGGCTGCTTTTCTCCAAGCCCACGAGTCACTACCTGCTAACGCAAGCGGCAGATTTGATTGTAAGATTTCTAGATGAGTACTTGCACTTTGCAGTAGTTGAGCCAGCGTGCAGAGATCGCAAGGCGTAAGAGCCAGGCCGCCCCTCGCAGCGCGCAGCGTGTCCTGTGCCCGTCCACAAAGCGCGCTTGGTACACTCAACTTCTGAATGCTCGCAACGCTGCGATAAGCCCATCCGGCCTCGGTATATCCAGATGTCCTCATGCGTGCAACTTCATACCTCACGAAGGGTGCTTTGGCTATACGGTGCTGAAGCGTGCAGCTTGCCCAGTGCTTAGAGATCCGTTGCATCACAGCTAGGGCTGATAGAGCTACCCTGTAGCTTGGGCAGGCACAAAACCAAGCCTGGCAAGACAAGCATGAAGTCTGACAAGTTCAGGGTACCGTCCAGCCTCCGTTGAGAGTTGTTGGCTTGGTGTGGCGTAAAGTCTCTTCTACCTTTTAGCATCGAAGAAGTAAACCCTGTTTGGCTTCAAGGCTATCCCTGTCACCTACTGGACTAAGGCTGGGTCTGCACGGTGGGAGGCAGCTGCTAGCAGCTCATCCGCTTGCAACCTTAGCTCCGAGGTGTGCTGCGAGCTTAACGCCAAGCCGGCAGTTTGGGTGTTCTACTTCAGTACTTCTCCGACGGCATGCAGGGACGATACAAGTCCAGGACGATACTGGTCCAATGCTCAGAAACTGAAGCAGAATCAGGGAGCAGCTCTCGGGGGAGGTCCTGACGTGCTTCAAGGGCTGGCCTTTACTAGGTGCGCATGCTTGTGCGTTGTGTTGTCTTTCGGGTTTGGGGTGTCAGGGTGGCAAGGCTCGGGGCAGCAGGGCTAGCTAATGATAGGCAACTCAGATAGCGCACGCAAACCAAGAAATGTAATTGTACAAGGCCTACTACAGGTTTCTTGTCCCCAGCCGGGCAATGAGCAATCCAGCTCCTTTGCGGATTGCTGCTGCTAGCTGCTGCCAGCTGCCTGGATAGAAAATGCTCGGAAATCATATGTCTTTTCGCTTTTAGCAGCTAATAGCAGCTGGCAGTTGCTAGCAGCAGCTATCAAAGAAGGGTAGTCCTCTCAGGGGGGCCGGACAATCCTGTCATGATATCATCGACGAGCACATCACCCTAAGTCACAGAAATCAACTACAAGCCTGCAAGTACAGCCCACAATGAATAGTCCCAATGGCCAAATCCTGGTCGAGCCAGTCAAGACCTTTTGGCTTCACAGACACTGAGGCACGACTATCAGGTGAATAGCGGCCTATAAGAGGCTTATGAGAGCACGTGGCATGCCATTCCTCTGCTGGAAAATTCATCACCCAACACTTGGAGTTGGAGCATTGAAGCACTAAGCATGACGTGCTACACAGCAAGCTTCGGATGCAGGAGTCAAAGAGACATCTGCCAAAACCTGGCAAAATCCAAACCGGAGAAAAAACGTCCTGCTTCAATCTGAAAGTCTATACATTCCCTAGGCCTCTTAAGTACATGGCATGACACCATTGAAGCCAGGTGCCCCCGCAAGATGCTAAATGACGCTAAGGGCAAAGCAAGTCACCCTCGTTCCACAAGCCGAGAATGTCCTGGACAGAATAGCATATCTGTATTCTGCGGCAAACGCACACAAGTGTTGACGTAGTCAAGTCTGTTCCGGCACCCTTTCCGAGATGCCTCAAAGACTAAGATGTCGCCGAGGTCGATTGCAATTGCCCTCTCCTTGCCCGAAATCCCCGAAACCAGACTCTGCAGGATATGCATTTGCTCAAATGATATCAGATGTGGAACCAAACGGCCTACTGCCCACAGCCCGCATGTCAGTGCATCATGCAAGGACAGGTCCACGTCCAATGGCAGCAGTTCATGACCTTAGTAGTACGCTGAGGAATGTTGGCCCCTGTGCTGAAGACTGGGAGGCTAGTTACCTCCTCGCGGCTCGTGCCGAAAATTTGAGAATGGCTGGAAAGAAGTTAATAGGGCAACATGAAGCACTTCCGTTCCTTTCGAAGGCGCCATCTGGCATGGCTCCACTTGCACGACCTGCCTGTGGATCTCGGCTGGGAACGCGCTACTTTTTCAAGCGCGAACCTGTTTAAGGTTCGGCTCCTTTGCGCGCTCAGCTGGCGACTTGCAGAAACAGGACCGAGCTCAGCGTCGGTAACGCCAGCGCTTCACATTGAAGTAGAGCTGCAGGACCCCACGGTCGAAAACAACCCGGAAGCCGAACCTGGGCACCACGGCATTGCCTCAAAAACTTGTCTTGAATGCTTCCCAACAGATTATGTCAAGCGACTTGTGGGACAGATTCCACTCACGGTTGACAATCTTGAATGCTACATCCTCGTATGGAGGACCAGCACTGAAGCGAAGCATGACCTCAAACGCGGAGGCTTGACTTAGATTATCACGCAACGTGACGTACATGCAATCTTCTGGTGGTTGTTCGAGCTAGCGACGGTATCCTGCGAATCTGACTTCTCGATGTGGTATGTTGGGGCCTTGCTCTTGTCAATCAGGTCTGGGTAGAAGATGTTGAACTTGTACCCTGCCAGAACAACGCATCTTCTCCTTTGCACTGCAAAGCAACTGGTAGGCCGAGCCTTGCACAATTTTCGGAGGTGGATTGTCATGGTCGTAGTGTGTCTGGTTGTATTTGTTCCACTCGAAGCCGGTCTTAACCCGATTGAAAAATCTGGGCTTTCGTGGCTTGTATTTATCCTCCCACTCGTACCTCTTCTTTTCCAAGAGCACCTGGCACAACAGTGCAGCGTGCCTATATCACATGGGCACTTCAGCGCAGCTACCCCATGCATTATTAGTGCTGCGAGTGGATAGCTGCACGCACAGCTGCCTCGCCGTGGTACGTGCTGTCATCCCCCTTGCCCAATGCGTTGAAAGCTGCCTTCCGGTGGCTACCAAGGAGAAAACACATGCAACTACGCGCGCAAGTCTTGTGCCAAGCACGAAGCCTCTCCCTGACTCATGCCTTTGGCGCTCTCAGCATTGAAAAGCTCGTCATCGCCTCGGATATTCACGGCAGCGGGCCAGCAGGATCTTTATGGCCATGCATTGCGCACCAAGCCCCATACGAGAGCGATCAACTCCAGGATTTCCTGAAGACGTTGCTCCACCAACTGTGCCGCCTCGGACCAGTGGCTTTCTCCAACAACACGCAACACGACCTCTTCAAATGCCAATATGCACAAGTCCGGTCTAAGCCCAAAACCAAATGCTTCGATGATGGTCTTTCGAACCTGTGGGCAAATTGGAACATGGCAGCGCTGAAGGAGCACTGAACGTAAAACATCGTCTAACACTTTGCCTGGCGCAGAACTTGCATGTCCTGCCAAGCTCAATCTGTGAACAGTCCCGCCACGCCTTTGCTGCTAAACGATGTTTGCCACGTTTCACAGTGCAACATCCCCTGTTGCATGGGTCAGCATCCTCGTCCGGATCCAGAAGGTCATCCGGATTGTACTTGCCTGGGAGCATTGGGAGGGCAAAGAGATTCTGGGGTTGTGGAGGTACGGAGTGCGCAGCAGTTCCGATGCGAGTGCTTTCATCCCTGGTCTCAAAAGGCCCCCACTGAGTGGCTCCAGGATGGGGCTGTAAGCTCCAGCATCAGCCTCGGAAGCTCATGGATGCTTTGTCCGTTGCTGACAGGCCACAGCATTAGTTAGGCATGCATAACACCCTTGGTACGGGCATAAAAGAAGAGATTTGCGCCCGACCTCCTCTTCAAGAGCATCCAGAGGCTCAAGCCTAAGAGTTTCATGCTATGTGCACAGAAGCACATAAGAAGCACCATCCTTTTCAACACCCCGAGCTGGGAGCTCTGGGCTGAAACCTTCTGCTTCGCCTCCCGGCTTGCCATCTGGAATCTCATCCCACTCCTTCGAGCCGGCCAGAAGCACGAAAGAGAGAGTCACATGTCGCAAATAAGCACAAACACGTAGCAAAATATCTACAAAACCTGTCCTGGGCCTTCAGCGCCTTGATCCGCGCAGCCTCAGCTTCCTCCGCCTCTGCCTCCTTCTTTGCGAGCCATGCATCAGACTTCACCTTCGCCCTGGCCACTGGCATTATCTTGCTATGCTAATGCTGCTGTACAGCTACGGCGTGAGCTATTCTTAGGGCAGCCTGCGCGGTAGCACAATGTCAACACCAAAATGTGCGTGCTTTTTGACTTACGAGGCGCGCTCCTCGGTACGACATCACTTGGCAAGACGGGTCTGCCTCCAGGCATCAAGCCTGAGGCAGCCTGGCGGCCATTGCCCGGATGAGATTCTGCACATGGTATGGATGGGGTAATGCGTACTGGGCCTTGGTCTTCTTCATGCCAAGGGACATGGTGTAACATGGGGCAAAGCTCTGACGCAATTCAAAGTCTGCTGAGCTTGGTGTCTGCTCTGCAGCCGACACCTCTTCCAGCTCTGCACTGGGTGCACCGCATGTTTCCTCAGCCTCCAGCAACTTCGCATCCTCCCTCTCCCGCTGGGCTGTGGGTATCCAGTCATACGGTGGCGGCAGCTCCCCCGGATGAACCTCTGGAGCAGGTCCTGTGGGAGTGTGGAGGACTGACTCGCTCCGGTCCATGCCCGCAGAGGACCTCGGTGAAGAGCATAAGCTCATCAAGCCTGTAGCCAGCCCGCTCGCGTCACCTTCGCCTGCACTCACGTATGCATATTCAGAGGTAGTTGGCTCTTCAAAAAAGCTCTCCACCATCTCAAACACATCTTCATCCCGGTGGGAGACGACAGCAAAACATAATGCGAAATCAACATTTTGAAGGGCCCCCAGTTCAGTTGTCAGCAGCTTCTCTAGGCAAGCGCTGCGCGAACAAGCGTGCGGGCGCACTGTGATCGTCCGATCACCAACGACCACCTCCGCTTCGCTGTTGACCAGCGGACCAGCCCACAAATGAATCAGTACCTCCCGGGCTTGTGCCGAGCCGAAATCAAACTGGGCGTGGTCCCAAGACCAGCGGTACATGTACTCCTGCTTTTCTATGTATGATCCAGGGGTGCGCTCCGTGAAGTAATTGAAGACGGCTCGCACGCCATCCATCCATTCTTCGCGACCCTCTACGTCTCCATCGTCCACCAGATGGATCCATTCCTCCTCGCTTGGCCTGCGCATCACGCAGCATCCTTCTGGAGCCACGTATACAGGCAGGTTGCCAACCAGTGCAGCAACAGTTTGCCGATCTCTGTCCGACGTAATGATGACAGATGTGCCCGGACTCAAAGCTATCGTTTTCAAGCACTGCCAGAGCTCCATGGGAAGCCTGATGAACTTTGGCCGCCCCCTGGCGTGCATGCCCATGCGCTCACCTTGCTGGGTACTCATCATGAGTGACTTAGTGTGTGGTAAGTCAGAAGCTGAGAACTCCCCACAAAACCCTGGACAACCTCGCCTTCTGGAACCTTGTTGAAAAAGATTCCCAAACCCTGGAAAAACCCACCGCAACATCGACATGTAAAACCGTTCTTCAGCAGTTGCCTGCTGTCCGCACTGACACTATGAATGTACAGCTCTCCTGTGAAATTGCAGTGCTGATCTTGATTGAGGAATTACTGGTTGCATGGTTGCTGCCATCAATGATGCTGCTTACTGGCAAGCTCACCCTTACCCCAAATCCTGCGTCACACTGGCGAACTTTAAACTGATTGACAAGTATGATCTACACATCTTTCCTCCCAGCTTTATCTCCTTGCTCCCAGTGGCGTGCAGGTGCCAAGCACTCCATGAGGTCAATGATAACCACCTGCCATTTGCTCCCCTGGTCTTCAAAGTTGGTTTCTTGCATTCTCTTCTCGTACCTACTACAGATAAAACCACCAATCACCCCCTGATATGCCAGGCACCCGTTGAACAGACTCAGACCAGTCGGCCAAAAGCTCTTCGTACGGCAAAAGCCTCAGGCCAGCTTGAAATGCAGGGACGTCCCTGAAGCTTGGCTTTGAGAAAGGTAGTAAGATCCCCACGGAGGTACCTGTGATGTGACTTCCATCAGGTCAGAGCAGGCCTCCTGTAGGCACTGCAAGAACGTCTCGGCCCACTTCTGGGCCGTGTGCTCTGTGACATACCTTGTGACAAGCAGAGCCAAGAAGTGAGTCCGCAAAAAAATGACAAGATGAAGCTAGGGCCGACTCCGACCACCAGGCTCAGCTTAGGAATGTCCAGCTTCAAGCACAAGCTGCTTTGGCTTAAATGAAAAACATAGAAAGAAGGAGGGCCGTGCCATAAACCGGAAAACATCAGAATGGTTTGATTTGTCTTGGGTCTAAGCACTTGAAGGCATAGTCATGCAAGGCCTGCCGTTCTTCAGGGGCCATGGTAAGAGCCTCGAAGATTGCATTCGCAGTCTCCTGCAAGTGCCATGGGTTTACCCGTATGGAGCCAGCGCCGAGGGACTGCGCCGCACCCGCAAACTCAGATAGAATCAGCACTCCCGGGAGGTGCTTTCCATGCTGGCATGCAATGTATTCGTAGGAAACTAAGTTCATGCCATCCCTTAGGGATGTGATCAAGGCAACGTCTGCGACATTGTAAAGGGCACTCAAATCTTCCTGGGACATCGACGAATCCATGTAAATGACTGGAACGCCCGTTGCAATCGTGGAGTGCTTGCCGGAGATCTGGCCAACCAGTTCGTGAACCTGTCTCTGCAAGCGTTGATACTCAGGGACATCCCGACGAGATGGAACAGCAAGCTGAACGAGGACGCACTTGTCTGCCCAATCCGGGTGGTGCTCCAAAAAGCAGCCGAATGCCATGAGTTTGTGGGGAATCCCCTTCATGTAGTCGAGTCTATCAATGCCAAGAATGACTTTCCTGCCAGCATACTGCTCGTGAAGGTGTTCAA